GGGCAGGAGCCCTCCTGGACAGAGACGCCTTGTGTGCCCTTGCTGGATGCTGAAGACAAGAGGTATAGCTTTACAACAATCAGGTTCTCCCTCCCACCCTTGAGGGAAGGTTTTTCTCTCCCCCCAACATCACACGTAGCCCAGCATAATGCAACCAAAGGTTATATACTGCTATGCATAGGTAATTTATGGTTTTCCCCTCTCCCAGTGAATTGTGCTACCAGAGAGGGACATACTTCTTGTTGTCTTTCAGCGGCTGGTGGTCATAGAACCAGTCCAGCACAGGGGCATCCTCCTCTGGATCCAGCTCAAGCTGAATCGCTTCCAGGGGCTCCACATCCAGGATGTTATCAGCATAATCCAGAGGGGGTTCCTCATCATCAAACGGGGGGAATCTCATCCTCTTGAAGTGACGCCTATCCCTCTTCTCTCGCCTCATCATAATCCACATCGACCTGGCAGAAACCCAGAGACCGTTAAACATCGCTTTTGTTGTGGACGCGCAAGTGTTTGCTCACAAGCTCCCACCAGGGCAAAGGCAGAAGGCACTTACCCCCACTGGGCAATGTACACCGGCTCTATGACCCAGGGAATCTCGTTCACAAAAGAGATGGCGCCTGTGATGTGGTAGAGGACCGGAACGTCTCTGATTTGCTCCCAGGGCATAGGCATGTTCTCCAAGAGCTTCAGAACAGCATGCGGCATGTACTTCAGAGCACTACAAGCAGAAATCAAGGAAAATCAGGGTTGGAAGGGATCTCAAGAGAACGGCCGTCCATCCGCCACAAGCCCAACTACCTCTACACCTTTCACTCCTGAAAACTGCTCATCTAACCTGTTCATAAAGGCCTCCAGTGATTAATCCACAAACTTCCTATTCTATCCTTATGCTTTATGCATCTCACTACCAAAAAGTTTTCTACTGGCTTGGCTTCCGAGAGACTGGCGCGCATTAAGAACGTTACAAAGGAAAACGAAACATTTCAAACGAGTTTCCAGAGTTTTTATGGGTAACGGTAAGTTAGTGCAATGGATCGCGATGTGCATGAGACAGCTCTCTGAACCCAAACAGCAAAGAAGAACTCACGGTGCTTCATAATCACACAAAAACCGCACACTGGCTACTTCATACTCTCCCCTGGCTCCTTCTAAGGTAACGTGTGATCCAGGGTAATGTTTTTCTCATAAATTCAAAGCAACAACTTCCTTTGCTTATCCTCGCCTGTGCTGCTACCCCAGCGCAACTGATCATCCCATCCTCCTCGAGCTGCTATGCTGCTTTCCATGCACAGCAGACATGGAAAGCCCTTTGGAGAAGGGGCTCTCCCTTCAGCCACCAGCGAGGAGCTTTGACAAGGCCGCAGAGGAGGACTCAGCTCGGCTCCCCATGTGTCACAGAGCGGGGGGCTCCCTTACCCCAGGTAGACGCGCTTGTCGTGACGGAACTTCCTGTTGGTCATGTCGCCGTGGTCGCGGATGATCTTCCGGACGTGCTCGGGGGGCATGTCCTCCTTCTGCGCGTCCACGAAGCCGAATTTCCTCTTCTCCGCATAGCGCTTGGCCTGCAGCTGCTGCCACTTGCGGGCTGCGGGGACAGAGAGGCGGCGGGGTCAGCCCCGGTCCCGCTCGGGAGGATGGCGGCGCAGGGGCCGGCCCTACCCACCTTTCTCCTGCAGCTTCTCCTCAGACATGTAGTCGGGCAGCGGCGCCAGCGGGCTGGGCACCGGGGCGCAGCCGCCGCGGTACGGGAAGGCGGCGGCCACGGCGACGCCCC